CCCCCCCCTTATTACTTTATTTTACGAAATATATTTTTCAAGTGACGTCTGATGGATTACATTGATCAGGTGAAATGTAAGAAGCACTAACGGGCCACAGATGGAACATAGCTAAAGACGCGAGTGATATTAGGATCGCGCGGCATTTCGTGAAGTTATAGCTCCCTAATGAATCAAACGGGGCTAAAAAAGGGCACCCCGCCCCGCTGCTAAAGGGAAGCGGACTATCTGACTACTCGATCTAAGTCCGGCTACCGTTTACCAACGAGCATTAGAAGTTGTCACAGGTGCTCGCCCGTATATACGTCGCATGCATGCATGCACGCACGCACGCACGTACGCACGTATGCACGTATACGCTCGAAGAAAATGGGCAAAGTTCTTCTCTCTCTCTCTCGCCCATCCGCGCACGTATGTTTGGCTTTCCCACAGTTTTGCGAGCGATTTTTGCTACGCCGCGGTCTCGCGCGTTTACCAACGGACGGACGGAAGCCAACGTGAACTTCAAAGATTCGCGATCGAGACCTCGAGTGGTATAGACCACTCGCATATTATCACGCTGTATGCATGCCCTGCCTGTCTGCCTGCCTGCCTAGCTAGCCAACTAACTAACTATCCGGAGTCTCCCGCCGACGTCCCCGCGGTACCGCGTGCACACACAAAGTCGAGGACTCGGCCAACACTCCACGGAAGCGCGTTTATCGAGAACCGGCGAGGAGAACAAAGTGCACCTTGCCGATACGACGGCTAATGGCAATCTTGTTTTATGCTTGACCGCGCATGTATGCATGCGCAGGACAAAAATCCTATGCACGTGAGCCAGATCTTATTATGTGGCACGGTGGAAGTGCGCGTGTTGATGGTCCACGAACGAACGCGAACATTGGAGCGCGCGCGCGGGTCTGGCGCGTTCAATTTTCCCGTCACCGTCGTCACGTCGCGATAATTTTTGACTTGGCCTCCGCCAATTATCAATTACTTCGGCGAAAGCCCCGTGTTCGTCGCGGAGACCCCTGTCATCGGAATTAATTTCCAGCGTAATTCCGCCGTGACATTTATTGACTGACGTTTATTGATAACGTTTATCGAGAGCGAATGCCGGACGAGTCCGTATTCCCCCCGGTTAACGCTCCTTCTCCCGTTTGTAATTTCGCGATGTCCGATAATTGCGGAGCAGCGGTCGCTCGCTCGTTCGCCCGTTCGCTCAATTTTCGGCATTCGATCGCCCAATAAAGTATCAATGCGAGAACGCGCGCTCAAAACCGGATTGGTAAATTACAAACGTTTATAGGACCTCGATCAATCATCGCCGTCGGCATGAGCAAGTCGCGCTCGCAACGGGGACCGCTGCTGCACCGCGCGATGATAACGACCGGGCAAGTGTCGGGTATTAGCAACGTTTTAAGCTGAACGCGAGCGCGCGCGTCAGTCAGTGTCGCAGGGCCAACAGGGAATTAAAATGTGAGCGAAGAGTGCGTGGTAAAAAAAGAAAGAGGACAAAGCAAAACAAAAAAAAAAGAGAACGGTAGTCGAACCAACAATCGTTGAGCCGAATCGATGGAAGGGCTCGCTTGTTGCGAGCGAGGGTGAGCGAGATCCATGAAGTACTATCGATGGATCGTGTCGCTGTCAGTAACGACGCATTAACGCATTCATATCGCATTCTAACCCTTTCGTTCGATTACAACTCGCTGGCCACGTACCTACACACAGTCGTTATGTAGCTGATCGCCTCTCGCCGTGTGGACGTCCCGATACACTTTTCTTTGTAAGGATAAACCTCTAATAGTCGGCACTCTGCATGTTTTTGACACTTTTGTGGAAATGTTGTCAACTATTATGATGTATGATAATCTGAAAAAAAAAAACAAATAAATAAATAGATAATACAAAAATAAATACTAGATAATGAAAAAAATAATACTAGATAATACACATATAATAGATAATACATAAATAAATAAATATATAAATAAATAAAAAAATAAATAGATAATACAAATAATAAATAAATAGTAATTGATGAATGATTACATACGAAAAGAAAAATGTCAACTATTGAATAGTAAAATATGATATAGATTTTATTTCTGGTTTTAGTAATTAATTCTTAATTACGTTGACTTACGACATCATATATTAGCACTGCGATTTTTTGCCTGAAAAAGTGTATTTTTGATCGGTTAGCACAATCAAGAATTGAAAGAAGAATTAAAACCAGGAAGAAAAGCTATGCCATATTTTATGAATTTTCTGGCTGACAAAGCTGTTCTTTTTTCCGTGTAATAAATAAATTAATAAATCCTCACCTATACCTTAATATTTGATAAAATCCGAGCAAGAATGCCAGCTACTGGACGTTTCCTCCTAGTTGCTCGTTTTGTAATAAAATGTTCACCGAGATAGAGCCGTGTAGACTTGCAGAATATTCGCGATCGTTGCCTGAAAAAATGAGGCATCCATAATGGCCGTTATAAACGCTATGGAAGTACAGTCAGTACCGTGATGCTTTACCATTCAGTAGGTCGATAGTTATTACAAATTTTCGACTAGCCACATCCGTTCCTCGTGACTGCTGATCAATGCAGAAAACGGGAACATATTTTCTGGACTAAATAACAGTGATGAGAGACGCGCAATTAGAAACAAGTGCGGCTGGTCGAGACATTTTTTAGTGACTATCTACGCATCGAATGGTGAGGCATCGCGGAACTGAGTGTACCCGCGTCGATTCGACGTCGCGAATCTCTCATATTCTTCTGATTATCATCGCGCATCTCCAATCCTCGTTTAACAAATGCAATCGTCCGATTCTGTTACTACTCGAATGACTCGATGATAACAAAAGTAAGAAACGCCGACTCGACACGTCACGACAAGCACCGGTTGTATGTATCAAGGATCGAGGAGATTGTTCGCTAATAACGTACTTACCATACGTCCCGACGATCGCACATCGCTATTGTCGACACATGCGATACTTATTTCCACGCGAGACTCACTTTAGACGGACAAAAGACGCATGAAACACGGAGCGATGTTGAGCGATACGTTAATGGCGGCGGCTCGACGTAGAAAGACCAAGGATAGCCGTGCAACCGATGACGTAGTATATACATCGAAAATTTGCGTTACGACTTGAACGATGTTGCGATCCGACAAGGACGGCTGTATGGGGCTGTATACCCCTCTCTTTCTTGCGAACGGAGCGACACCACCTTGAAATATTCGACGTCGCGAATATCTCTAGCGTCGTATTATCCATCTATTCTTTCGATCGCCACCGTATTTCCGATTTTCAATTTATAAATTCGACGATCATTCGGTTCTATCACCACTGGAACGAGTAGTAGTACGAACGAGGTTAGAATCATAACAAAAGACGCTGTCTCAACACACACCGCGACGAGCATCCGTTGTGTACACTAAGCATTAAGAAGATCACTCTCTAATAATATACTTACGATACGTCCCGCACATCACTATTGTCGACACTCTCGATGCTTATTTCCCCACGAGACTTACTTTTGATGAACAGAAGATGCGTGAAACGCGGAGCGATATCGGGCGACGCGTTCACGGCGGCTGTTCCATACAAATAGATCGATAATGAAGATAGGGGCGCGCAACTGGATAACGATTATCGATCTATCCGATGGTAAGGGCTAACGTCTACAGCATTGGATGTAGAGAGGGCGTCGTTATACAAGAGTGCGACTATTTTCGGCGCACTATCGCGCGGTTACGTCCGATCTTTTTATTCGAGCAATCGTCATGGACACATCGCTCCGCGTTCTACTCGTCTTCTGTCTGTTGAAAATCAGCCTTGTGCGGAAATACGTATCAGGAGTGACGACGTGCGATCGTCGGGGCGTATCGTAAGTGTGTTATTAAGGAGTAATCTTCCAGCTTCTCGTTACATACCGCCGGTGCTCGTCGCGTCGTGTCGTGTCGAGACGGCGCGTCTGTCACTCTCATTATTATCTTCGACTCATTCGAACAGTAATAGAATCAGACGATCGCATTTATTACTCGCGTATCAGAAGTTCGATCAGAGGAAAAGAGAAAAAGACGCCAGGAACATTCGCGACGTTGAATCTCGGGAGGTAGCGAATCTCGATCTGTTAGGGCGCGTTCCACTTAACGCTCGTAACGACGCGAGCGTTATTCTATCTTTGTTACTCATTGGATGTTAAACAAAGATAGAATAACGTCGCGTCGTTGCGAGCGTTAAGTGGAACGTATCCTTAGTAAGAAAGAGAGAGAGAGGGAGAGGCGTATACTTGCGTCCTTGTCGGGCTGCGAAACTGCTTACATCTTGGCGCGCATTTCGGCGTCCGTTATGCGCGGGCATCGTTTGATGTTATTGTATCGAGCAATCGTCACTGGCATATCAGTCGACATCGACCTGCGTTTCTTGCGAATTGATAGTGAGTCTTGTGCGGAAATAAATATCGGGATGTATCGTAAGTACGTTATTAGGCAGTGAATGATCTCGATACATACAAGCAATGATTGTCGCGTCGTGTCGAATTTGTTATTTCCATTACTTCTCACTTATCTTCGGCTCATTCATTTAATAATACAAGATGATCGTCGCATTCATTATTCAAGAATTGGAAATTCAACAGTAATCAGAGGGAAAGAGAAAAGACGACATCGAGAATATTCGCGAGATGAATCGCGAGAGCGCGTCCTTATCAGACCGCGACACCGTTCCGGAAAAGTGTATGTACTTATTACACGTCTCTCCCCGGCACACGTGTCGTTTTTCTATATTGGTATGAGTGCGCGCGCGACACTGAAGTTTTGTTATCTCACAGGTGCCCGACCTTTGCGCGCCGCGACGATCGCACTGCGTGAACGATCGCAGGTTTGGAAATGTCGATCGACATCGTCCCGCGTTCTACTCGTCTTCTGTCTGTTGAAAATCAGCCTCGTGCGGAAGTGCGTATCAGAAGTGTCAGCAGCGGCGACATGCGATCGTCGGGGTATATTGTGTGTTATTAAGCAGTAATCTTCCAGTTTCTCATTATACTACTGTGCCCAAAAAGTAAGACCAATTTAAAATTTTTTTTTTTAAATCTTTATTATTCCAAATCTATTTCGTCGCCTTCAAAGTAATCCCCCTCAGACACAATACATTTATGCCAACGTTTTTTCCAACCCTCGAAACAGTTGTTAAAGTCGATTTCCGGAATGGCCTTCAAAGCTTTCTTCGATTCAGCTTGTTTCTCTTCAATCGAGTCAAGACGGTCTTTTGAGTTTAGGGAATAGCCAGAAGTCACACGGTGCTAAATCAGGTGAATATGGTGGTTGTGGAACGATATGGGTCGAATTTTTAGCGAAATGGTCTCGAAGAACCAATGCAGTGTGAGATGGTGGGTTTATATCTGCAGTGTGGGTTTATATGCATCACGTAATACGGTTTCCAACCGTAGGGTTGGAAAAAACGTTGGCATAAGTGTATTGTGTCTGAGGGGGATTACTTTGAAGGCGACGAAACAGATTTGGAAAATAAATAAAGATTTAAAAAAAAATTTTAAATTGGTCTTACTTTTTGGACACAGTAGTATATCGCCAGTGCTCGGCGCGTCTGTCACTCTCATTATCTTCGACTCATTCAAACAGTAATAGAATCAAACGATCGCATTTATTACTCGCGTATCAAAAGTTCGATCAGAGGGAAAGAGAAAAAGACGACGCCAGGAACATTCGCGACACTGAATCTCGGGAGGTAGCGAATCTCGATCTGTTAGTAAGAGAGAGAGAGGGAGAGGCGTATACCCGTATCTTTGTCGGGCGCTATATAGTATCGCGAAACTGTTTACATCTTGGCACGGATTTCGGCGACCGTTATGCGCGGGCATCGTTTGATGTTATTGTATCAAGTAATCGTCATTGACATATCAGTCGACATCGGCCTGCGTTTTTTGCGAATTGACAGTGAGTCTTGTGCGGAAATAAATATCGGGATGTATCGTAAGTACGTTATTAGGCAGTGAGTGATCTCGATACATACAAGCAGTGTTTGTCGCGTCGTGTCGAATCTGTTATTTTCATTATCTCTCATTTATCTTCGGCTCATTCATTTAATAATACAAAACGATCGTCGCATTCATTATTCAAGAATTGGAAATTCAATGGTAATCAGAGGGAAAGAGAAAAGACGACGTCGAGAATATTCGCGAGAATGAGTCGCGAGAGCGTGTCCTTGTCGAGCCGCGACATCGTTTCCGAAGGATACATACACTTATTACACGTCCCTCTCCGGCACGCGTGACGTTTTTCTACATTGGCACGAGTGCGCGCGCGACACTGAGATTTTGTTATCTTACGGCTGCCCGACCTTCGCGCGCCGCGACGGTTGTACTGCGTAAACGATTTGAAAATGTCGATCGACGTATATACCGTGACGCGTTCTTGGCTACGGCATTTTTGAATGATGTATGTGAACCGCGAATATGTTTGCGCGCGGACGTGACGCTATCAAGAAAGATAACCTCATCGTGACTCCAATATCCCTCTGGGGATCCCGGCGACCGAGTATCTCGCGAGTTCCCGCGGTCGGCTTGCAATGAGGGCCAGCTACGAGGAGGGCGCGAGGGGTTAAGCGATATATACTGTCGGGATATAAGTGAAATCGCAATAATTACCGGCGGCACGGATCACAAATCCCGCAATACGGTAGTTGGTAGGCGGGATGGTCTACCAACGGGCGCATACAGGTATTATACGCAAGCTCTTTGTCGGAGGCCGGGAGGTGGGGTACGGTTTATATTGGCGCCACCTCCTGCACGGTTAAGCGAGCGACTAGGGCAGACTTACGCCTTACACCTCTCTCTCTTCGTCCCTCTTTCCCTCTCTCTCTCTCTCTCTCACGTTCCATCTTCCCTCTCTCTCTCTCTCTCTCTCTCTCTCTCTTCCTATGCACCCCACCCGCTCTTTCACCCTCACTACCGCTCGTCCTCTCTCTGTCGCTCCCTCTTGCGTCTCTCTATTCTCCTCTCTCCCCTCCCTCTCGCACCGGTACCGGCCCTCTCTCTCGTCTCTCTCGCCGCGCGCGCTCTGATGCTGCACAACTCCCGCTCGGCTAACCCAACCTAACCCGCGGGCCAACTTCATTCCACGCCGACTGACCACCACCGACGGCCGTCGTCGTCCTCGACGCCGTCGCCGTCGCCGTCGTCAGAGAACGCGGTCACGCGATACACGTCGACCCGGTTGTCGTCGTCGCCGTCGTCGTCGTCGTCACCGTCGTCGTCGGCGCGTCATACTCGTTATACGTACGCGCTCTCGTCTTCTCGTCCCGCTTTCTGTTTCCGTTTTTTTTTTCTTTCCCTCCTCGGTGGAGGCGCGCACCGGTCGACCACCCTCGGCGCGTTATGCCGATATTATTGTGACGGGTTACGTGACTGGATTTTCTGTTAGTGACTGTGACCAGAGCCTACCGATTACAACGGTTCTCTCTTGCACTTACAGAGCGTAGAAGTGTCGGAGAAATTAAGAGGAAGGAAGGAACAAGAAGTTCGCGTCGTCTTATATTCCGTTTTCCTCGCGGGACAACGTTCGCCCAGAAGACGAAAGGAAGAAGCGATCATGGACATGTCCGAAGACTGTTGGGAGCACGTGGGATTGCTCCAGGAAGTCTCCGCCGCGGAACCACCCCCGCCACCGCCCGCGCCTGACTTCCTAATTCAACAACAAGAGGTAAGTGCTCCTCTCTCTCTTACACACGCTCCCTCATATACCGGAGCGTGATTGCGCTTTGACCCACCGCCACGGCGCACGAAGTTAAGGGTCGAAACACGAGTCCATTAGCCGAGTTTGCGAGGAAGAAAAGCGCGGGAAAAGAACGCTCGCACGCAAATGTCTCTTTATTTCTCGTAAATTACAAAGCGTCACATTGTGATGAAAAGTACAACAGGGCGCCCATCTATTATTCTCGTTTATTTATCACGCGCACAGATGACTGTGTCTTATGCAAAACCTTTGCGGGATTACCTCATCGTGATCAGCTCATCAGAGAGCGAGACGGCGTCTGTCGTAATCGCAAGAGAATCAACGGCGCACCGTAATCGCAACGCACCAACATTCTTATTTTTTCGTTCTCTTTTCACGCAAATTTCTCGATCATCGCGCAGAAGGTCATTAATTGACGTAATGTGATGGGCGCATGTCGAATTATAATACCACGGGGACGCGCTAAATCCGCGCTTACGCCGATTCGTCGCGAGCGGCGAACGTGTAATCACGTTTCACTTAAGTACGCGATCCACCGGACAATTTCGGTATTTGTACGGGGCGCAGTCTGTCATTTCGCGCTCGGCTCGTCTCACCGGCGAAGAATCCCATTTATCCGCGGCACGGCCGCAGGGGTAAACGCGGTAATACTCTTGCGCGAGAGCTATCTTTTTAATAAACCGCGCCACACACATATAGGACAGAGCGGAGAGATGGGAGGGAGAAGGGGGAGAAGGTGGGGGGATTCCGGTGTGGAAATCATTATCATAATGATACGGCGGGGCGCGGCGATTTTATTCCGTGAAAACGATCGCGGCACGTACGTCACACACGCGGCTCAAGGAACGTATATTTAATTACGCCGCTCATGGCGATCGCGCGCATCGCGGCTTCACTTTCTTAGCATCTCAATTACATCGTTATTATCGGACGCCATGCTGTGATCCGCGCGCCGATCTTTATCCTACAATTTCCTGGCTGTATCATCTCACTTGAACCGTTTACTATAAACAGTCGCGCGGGCGAGCACGTAGTTCAATGACCTCTCCAAGAGAGAGAGAGAGAGAGAGAGAGAGAGAGAGAGAGAGAGAGAGAGAGAGAGGGAGAGGTCTCACGAAATTGCTTATCCCTCGGGATTAAAAGATCACACGTATAACTCGCGAAGAGAGCTCCACGAGCTTGGTAATTCACGAGTAAGTAAGTCGATTCGTCGCTGCAACTGCGCCAACATCCTCGCGAGGGGACCCCGACACACCCTTCCGAACGAATCGTGCGCGCTCCTGAGTATTCGACTCGGAACACGTCGTATATACCACCGGATCGCAATTAGGAGAGGCCGAAGTAGAGGCTCTCGCGCGAGCAAGAGGTAGAAACGGTCGATTCGCGAGCTCGTCGACATTTCGCCGACAGGCAGCGTCCGAGGAAGCACCTGGATAGTCGTACGCGATTTCTCTGTTTGTTCAAGCCACGGCGAATTAGCGATAATCACGCGGGACCACCTGTCATCGGCTCGATCGGTTTGAAGGGATTTATATGTCATTATATACAGGTTACTTTCCTTCGCAAAGGAGCGAGACAGCGAGGTTCGTCCAAAGGAGCGGACGACCGCCGGTCGAAAGGGACCCGTTCCGTTTCAATTTCGTCGGGCCCTTCGCATAACGAGCTCTCCTTTCCTCTCTCTCCGTCTCTTTTTCTCTCCTCTTGAACGGGGCAGCATGAGTCCACGGGGCGTTGGTTACGGTGCCCTGTAATCATACCCGAAATTATAGGCATTTAGTCGGGCATGAATGAGCGGATAGGAAAGTTTAAGAAGAAGATATCGGTGGCATCGGCGCGTCAGAGGCGCGTGCAGGTCGCGGCCCGTTGCCTTCGCTTCCTTTACGCCCCTTTATACCCCTCGCCTTGCTGCCCTCTCTGGTCCCCTCGCCGCCCTTGGTCGCCGGTTTCTAGAAGCACCTGCACCTGCGCTACCCCGATCACAGCCCAGATTCACCTCCGATACTGTCGACCCTCCTTCCCTTCTAGCTTCCTTCCTTCCTTCCTCGACGCCACGCCACGCATGCGTGTGCGTAAATCCTGAAACATATCGATGATCGACTGTGATCCGTCATGCACCTTGATAATAGCTGTTATGACGCGTTTCGCACGATATCACCGAACAAGAGCGAAATATCCAGCTTAAGATGAAATGTTTAACTCTCGCGGGTAGAATAGCGCTCTCTAAATTTCTTGGAGTAAAACCTCATTCGAAAAGCCATATTATCATCGAGTCACTCGAATTTCAGTGATTTTTCATCCACTTAGGCTCGTATTAATAGTCGTTGATTGAAATATATTTTACATGAAATACTCAGATCTAAAGTTATAGTTAAATTTAAATTTTTTATTTCTATCATATAACATATATGACATTAAATCTGGTTGATTACAAGATTCAGCTGAAAAATTCATATTTAATTCTAAGACCCGTATTAATAGTTATATTACTTGAAACTCGTTTCCAGCGAGATACTCATATTTCAATTTAGAGTTAGGTGAAAATTTTTCAGTTGAATCGCAGTTTTTTATAGATATGTTAGACATTACATGTATTATAATTTAACTGAACCTAACTATGAATGCAGATCTGGGTCTCACATGAAACAAAGTTTCAGGTGATGGCTATAAATTGAAGTCTGAGTATCTGGGTAACTTGAGGCAAGTTCCAACGACTATTAATACAAGTCGTAGAATGAATTCTCTACTCTGCATCGTCGAGTAAATGTATACACTCGAAATTGAAGAGTGAATCCGATGTACACAATCCGGCATACTAGCCTTTAACAACATTTACGAGGCTTAGTTCCAAATGAATTTCTCGGTTACGCGCAATATGTTTACATATTCGTGCATCATAACTGTTAATTATTTCGAGGAAACGATTCCATGGGAACAAATCAACGGTCATGATGCATGAATATGTACGCGTATATCGTGTGTAATCGAGAAATTCGTTTGGAACTATGCCTAGTAAATGTTAAGACTATTGTGCCAGATTGTGTACATCGGATTCATTCTTCAATTTCGAGTAAATATATCCGTTCGACGATTCGGAATGGAGATTTTATTCTATATGAACGAAAAATCGCTGAAATTCGAGTGACTAGTAGTTATTTTGATTTTTGAGTGAAATTTCATTCCAAGAAATTTAAAAAGCGAGATTCTACTCATGAAAGATTTGAAATCTCGACCTTAGTAAATCAATATATAAATTAAGGCTGTACTCTGTCGTTACAGAACATGTTCATTCTATTCAATTGAAACCTTCGCTCATACAAAGTCAGGATTCGTTCTAAACTTGAGTGCAATATTTTCACTTTGAGTAAAAATACTACCACTTTACGTTTGTTTCGAGCGAGATTCCATTTTAAGAAATGTAGAGAGCGTTGAGAACGGTATCGCGCTAACTACATAATCCACGGAATCGTTCCGCGCGCAATACTCGAATCGCAATTTGCATCCCGAGAACTCGATCGTGCACAGCTTTCGCGATCCGCAACTTACACGAGATAGGATGTGTCGTTCTATTAAAACGACACGCGAAAACGCGATCGCATCTTCGCTTGGAAGGATCAGCAGTAAGTAGTCGGTCCAATTAAAATACTGGAAGGAAACCGTCTCTCTCTCTCTCTCTCTCTCTCTCTCTTTCTCTTCCCGCGTGTCCAACACGTGACAAATGCGCGTTCGCCGCGTCGTGTCCCAGCTGCGGACTCTGAAAAACGTCGGCGAGCCGAACTATAAGCTGCTAATCGAATCGCACCTGCGTCAAGATACGCTAGCACCAGCTCACTCCTCAAGAGCTGCTTTCGCGCCGCAGATACTCCCGAGCACCGCTGCTCACGTATGAGTTTCCCACGGCGGGCCAGCTCGGGGCCCGTGTGGGAATATCTGTTCTTATTACTCGCGCATAGGTAAACACGTTCGGGCACCGATCGACCGTCGATTTTCGTATTCCTGCAACGTGTTCGTCCATTCTCGCCTCTCTTTCTCTCCCTCGTGCTCTTTCCCTTCTTTCTCTCTCACTCTATCGCTCGATCCTCTCTTTTTCTACGGGCCTCACATGACGGTCATAGGTTGGCAGAGCCTGAGCTCCGGTTGCTGCTGAACGGGGCATCCGTGCACGCGACATTCCATTGTGTTCGGCGATCTGTGCGTGCGTCTAAGACCCCGTTCACACCGAAAATTGTGATTCGATCGTACGAGGCACGTAGATGCTCCGTGAGAGAACTCGGCCGATTCGACGCCGATAACGACGTCGTGCGTCTTGCTTCCGAATTGCTCTCTTTCTGTCGGACGTTCCTCGCGGGGGGAAGAACGTCGTAGTCGGAGACATGGAGCCGACTCAGGCCGTGTGGCGACTAACGCGACACGTCCGTGTCGATACGAGCTAAGAGTCGATACGAGACACTGTAAGATGCGGCCATGAACGATTTGCAAAGCGTCGTAGTTGAGAGGCTTTGAGGGAATTTCAATTCCAGGCGTATGCAGATCCCTCTTTCTATCTTGCTCTAGCCTTCGTTCCTCCCTCACTCTCTTTCTCATTCCTCGGCTCTTTCGCGTAATTGATGTAAGTCGCGTGTTACGACTAAATTCCAACGTCTGAATGCGCTCGACGCATGGCGACGACTGTTCGGACACCTTTTCTTATGTTCTTGACTACTCGTGCAATTGCGCGAAGACTGCCAATTACAGGAAATAATATTCGGTGGCGTCCACCGTCGGCCGACCTGGCGACGTTAGAAGCTGTCTGCGAATCGGTAAGATAACCATCGCGTTACATCGACTACATTGTTTTCTTAAAAGCGCTCGTTACCTCGAAATTAACCCGCCCTTGTCGATTAAATCTCATTGTGTGCTAAACTCGCGCGCTCTTCATAGAATATATTCGTCGATCTAGTTTCGGTTGTAAAATAATTTCCACATTCGGAAAATATATTATCATCATCTTATGTTGCTCGATAAAAGCACCACCGATAACTCCTTCACGAATAAAACACTTTGATTGTATCAATGTGAAGAGTTTTGGATTTTAATGAACGAACCGACGCGTCTCGGTGAAAGGACACAGAATTTCTGGTTCTTATGGCCTAAAATTGACTCTAAGAAACAGAAGTTCTCCAACCAAAACGCGTTGGCTCGTTCAGACCGTACAATAGGTGTCGTAAGAATTGACCAATCACAGTCGATTATTGCAAGAAAAATCGGCTATAATTACACAATTTTTACGGCTTACGACACCTCTGTTGTAGACTAGGATTCATTATAATCACAACCTTATATTAATGCAACCTAAGTGTAGTCTCTGTGAGTCAATCGCAGCCTCAAATCCGGAGAGTGATGATTCCCGTTCGGCAAACGTGAACAATTTTTCGGCGAAATCGTACATTGCATTTAGCGATATCGCACGCTGAATTCCCCAACAGGCGCTATCCTTCCACCGCGATCTAATATCCCACGCGAGCGACGGAAGGACTCCACGCTGTTCCGAGCGAGGGGGAGAGAATCGTCGTCCTCTCTGACTGTGGGCCCTCGCCTTGCCACCCCGAGAGCTCCGTACGATGACATCGCCTTTTCCGAAGACCCGTTGCGAGCGTTCACACGGCCGAGCATTCCGTACTTGAGTCGCACGCGGGATACGCACTTGTCGTGTAGGCACTTGTCGTTTCCCTTCTTGCTCGCAGCTAGAACGGCGTCCCCCCTCGTCATCGACGTCATCGTCGCCGTCGTCTGACCCGACGTTACTCACGGGATATGCGAGCCCGCTGAATGGAGCGTCCTCGGGCACACGTGACACGTGCGTCCCGCATCGACCGGACACGTGCAGGGCGCAACGTCGCCGTCGAGCGCGACGACCACGGAATCCCATGGTTACAGTTACAGACCACGTCGACGCCCGTATTTTCTCTCGCTTCTCTCGTTCGTCCCGAATACATCGCCGCGACATATTAAGGCAGGAGGATGACGATTACTCCGAGGCGATTCTAAAAAAAGATCAGCCAACGAAAGTGCGGGTTTAACACGACGCTAACGTCTCGCAGAAATCCTGAAGATCCGTGTCGACAACATATCGTGGAAACATCATGCGCTGATGACACGACGAGACATAACTTGGTGAAGTGTACTCGTTACAAGTCGACAATTTGCCAAGAGCGCTCGCTCGCGATTTTTATTCCTCGGCCACGTGCTCGAAGACCGGTTCGAGTTTCGTATCTTCTCGTTGTAGCTTCGATCTCTCTCTCCATGGTCTCCATATAGACGCGCCCCTGATACGAGGGTGGCGGTACAATGATCTTCCGTAGCCGGGACGTTGAAAGCGGCTTCGAGTCGTTCGACACCTTCTGGGAATTCGAAAACGTCCGAGCGCCGACAAAAGCTCTCGTGCGAGGCGGCAAAGGAAACAATCGACCACTTGTTGCTGAAAAGATTGTATCGAGCATTCGCTAGAAAGTCTCTCGCGTATGCGCGCGAAATTAAAAAGCGGCGCGTGTGCAGATGTGTGCGTGTGTGTACGTGTAAATATGTATATAGGCACAGAGTTCGCGCGATTCCGGAGCAACCGCCATGCTCCGTCAAGTCGCCGGCGTTATATCGGGGATCCGCTTCGTCGATGAAACGGCCCGATACGTTTAAAGGCGCTCGCCGTTTCGTAACGGAAGTAATCGCGCGGCCAAGAACAAGGACGTAACTTTGCCCGTTACTGGATTATAGACGTGGCGCACGAGAAGCTACCACGATCGTTTCTCCTTTGTGTCACCAGTAGACCGTGCACCGAGGCTCTCCCTCTTTCATTCTTTGCCTCGCTTTCCCGATCCCTCTCACGCGAGAATAAATTCGATGGATCGTAAACTACAACCGCTCTTGAATCGCTTTAGCCACGCTCGCAACAAAAATATTTCTCGCGCCCCCGCGTGTCGCGTGCACCGCGCGCTTGATTTCATCGGTGACTCCAAGTTCATCTTTCTTTCTCTCTCCCCCTCGCTCAGAATGTTTTCACGGGGGAAATATATCATGCACGCTCGGCATATTTACGATTGCCC